GTACGGGCATCGATTAGCGTCGGTCGACAGCGATGGCAGAGATTCGACAATACAATTCGGCGCCAATCGGTACCATCCACTCTCTTGACGCGCAATCGACTAAAACGCCGGTCTCCCAAATCGCCGGATCGCTTACTTCCAGGAGGCCGGACCAACGAGTATTTCGAACGCCGGATCGCTCAACATCTTAAAACGCCAGATCGCCCATTCTCTCCAATTTTCCTCGTCGTGCAATCTTCAATCTTCCCAGTCGCGGAGTTTCCATATCACCGACTGCCCTTGATCACAAATTATGAACACACTTTAGCGGCGGAGTCCCAACCGCGATAGTCGCCGTGTCGCTCATTTCGTGAAGTATGAACGCAACATTAATTGATCGGTCATATTCTACCGCACATCCTAGGGGTCAAGTACCGCGGTGTGTAATGATTCGGGTTCCCCATCGAGTCTACAACTTCTGGTCATTCTTCCGCAACTGTGCAATTAGATTCGGTTTGATTTGCAGGAATTACGAGCCGAAGAGACAAAGGAGCATTTCTCACATGATGAGCTAATTCGAGTTCTTGTTGAGGAAGGTGCTCTGAAAAGATCCGAAGATGATCGTACCCTGAGCCAGTTGTTATCTTCTGCTCGTCAAGTAAACTTTCTAGTTTCTATCCTTCTACTTTTCATAGTTTTTAGAATTTTTTTTTGTTATCAACGCCTCTTAAAGTATGTGGTGTTCTAGGGTTCTGGTTCCGTAACGGATTCGCCGATGTGTGGACCATCGGATACGTCCACACCACAGCGCGCAAATCCATCTCAACGTCAGGGTCAAAATGAGTTTGTTCTTGACAAGGTAGGGGAGCTATTCGGGTGACTACTGCTTGATGACGATTAAAACTTTCTTCTGCGGCCTAACTTACTGTGGGAAAACTTGAGGATTTATGTTTTCAAGATCAACACCTACTGGGCAGAAGGATTGGATAAAGAGACCCGAAAACTGTTAGGCGATCGGTTTGGACTGGAAGGAGTGAAGGATGTAGTCAGCTTGGAAGACAAAAGTCTTCTTGATCTGGTGAACGAAGTGACAGAAATCGTACAAGGAGCAAGTCTTTTACTGATTCAGAGCGACACCAATGTGAAAGTGGTAAGTTGCGCAACTGTTCATCTAGGTAACCCTTATTTCTAATTGTGCACTCATTCGTCAGAATTCGTTTTCCAGAAATGGATGTATGAGCTAGCATCGGACGCATCACACTGCGGTTTTGATTCGGTAAGACTTTCAGTGTTCAAATGGTCCGATACGAAGGACATGGACGTTTACGAAAAGAAGTTATTCAATGCCAAAGGCAAGGACTTGGAGTAAGTAGCTTCAATATATTCAGCTTAGAAGGAACCGCGGCGTAGTTTGCCTTGGTGGGGGCATTTTACTGGTTCCCATCGCTGCCGGTGCCCTGTGGAGACCTGTTGAATGAAGTGAAGAGAATCAAGCTATGCGATCCTACGAAAATCGTTTACATTTGAGAGTCTGCAGGTCTCGCCAAGGTGTGGCGTGTGATTGATAGGAATTGGCAGGAAGAACAGCGAAAGTGCAAAATGCCCCTTCCGAAGCCTAACAGTTTAAACAACATTTTAGACATTTGAAAGACGTGGACGGTTCTTTTACTAAATAGCTGACTGCAGTTTTGCTGGTCCCTTGTGCAGGGTGACAGGAACAGGGTTCTTCCTTTCATTCAGTCTCAATGTTGTTTTGACATCATATGGTGATACGAAGAAAACGGGCGCAATTTGCCGACGGGGGGCATTTTGCACTTTCGCTGCTCCACTAGTTCCAGTTTACAAGCTCATTCTGGTGAAACCTGTAAGCTATTGTGAAGCTGCTGGCAACCCCGGTGGACAGATGAGTGGGGTCACTCAACCTTCTGTTTTTTCCTTTGAGAACCCCTTGCTCTGATATGGTGGAGAGGAGAGGCGCATTATTGAGGCGTTATACTTGTGGGTCTTCGTCGTTTTCTGTGCTCGTCCGTTCGTATCGGAATGCTGTTCTGTGTGGAAGCTAGTCAGTATGTTGCAGAGGTGCGATTTGCGCTAGTACAATTTGCCGTGATGGCCTTGCATGCGAGTGCCTGCTCCCCCGTGGAGTTGGGAAGCTGAGAGCAGGAGTTCAACCAGAACTGAGCGTTTCAATACCGATGCAACCAGGAGTACGTTTCTCAGCTCCTTGTTTCTCTTTATCACCTTGACATGCTGTTTTCAAGGGTATTGTGGAGACCACACCGGTCCAAAATGAAGCGGCTGGCTGCGTCAAAACTGAACACCAGCCTGATGGACGTTTACAGTTGGTGACAGACGAGGTTGTTCATTCGTAACTATGAGGGTTTGAATAGTGTCAGAGCACAGATACCATGCACTAACACAAATAAATACTACCTAGCTGTGTCAGAGTGGATTTCAGAATGCGGTGTTTGGAAATATCACCAAGTTTCTATCGGTCGAGATGTACACTGGGGGTCACGTCTATGCTGTGGTTAGTCATCGTTTTTGGAATTCGTTTACTGTTTTTCTGTAAGGATCTTCAAAATTTATTTATTTATTTATTACATGCCCGCTAGGAGCATGTTGAACCAACATGAAACATCAAACCCAACATAACAAATCAGATCATATGCATCTTTGAAAACAATAGAAATAGTAACAATTAAGGAGAGGGGCAGTGCTAGGAAGGTAGGTAAAACTTCAAATAATAAAAAAGTGACCAGGAAGAAAAGTGAAAGGAACCAGTGCAATGAGAGGAGGAGTCTGTGAGCACAACTAGCTGAACTTCTTGAGGAAACGCGAGATTTCTTGTTTGAAGCGGGAGAGCTTTAGAGGCAAACGAATGCTCTTGCATAACTTAGAGTACTCAGAACCAGCACGCTGAGTGAAGAAGTGGCTACGAAGCGAAGACCTGGCGGTGTTGAGGCAAATTTTGCTAGGCTCACCTCTAGTAGATGAGACAGAAAAAGAAAATAGCTTATTGGCTGCAAATGCCATTGACCCATGGACGATTTTGAAAACGGTGACTAGGTCGTTCTTTAATCTACGTTTAGAAAGGGAATCCAGATTAAGCATTTTATTTCGAATAATGGCCCGTGGGAATACTGTTGTAAGTGTATCCTAACGCTCTTATAAAAACTTTCCTAGTGAAACTATTTTGCACACGTTCAATAGCCTGGATGGTTTTTTTCTTGTATGGAAAGAAAATACATGTCCCATATTCGATAATAGGTCTGACATACATCTTATAAGCCTTGATCAAAACGGAGGGATCTTTACTACTAAGCGCCTTCAGCAACAGAAATAGTCTTTGCTCAGCCTTAGCAGCAATTTTAAGGCAATGGGAGTCGAAGCTGAGCTTGCGGTTAACAGTAAATCCTAAGTCCTTTATTTCAGAAACTTCATCGATAGGGGATCGTGAAATAAAATACTTATTCTTGGGATTGTTCCCTACCAAGATACATTGTTTTGGTTTTTTCACAACAGATAGGCAGACTCCATCTGATAGACCAAGCATAAACAGAGTCATGTAAAGATGTAACAGTCCTGTAGATCTTGATGTCATCGGCAAACATCTGACAAATAACACCCTCGCTTTGGACCAGCAAGGGTAGATCGAATGTGTAAATATTGAAAAGAACAGGGGATAAAACCCCACCCTGCGGAACCCCACTAGTGGCGTGCCTAACTGAAGAGAGGCAGTCATTAATTCTAACTTGAAATGTGCGACCAGTTAGAAAAGCTTGAATCCACCGTATAATACTACTGTGAACGCCTACACACTCTAACCTACGGAGCAGCTTACTATGACAAACTTTATCAAAAGCTTTTGAAAAGTCAAAATAGACAACATCAACATTAGAATCCGCATCAAGAGCGCATGTCCAGTCATTAAGGACAAAAGCATTTGGGATATGGTAGATCTACCCCTTCTAAACCCCTGATAAAACCCAACCTCTGATAAAACCGAGTTGGCTTCAAGATGTTTGACAATCACATCCTTGATTATTTTCTCGAAGCAGTCTACTAAAGATTGATGTTATGCTTATTGGCCTGTAATTCTCTGGTCTGTCATGAGGAGGCTTTTTGGGAAGCGGAGATACATAAGAGTGCTTCCACCGCAGAGGAACCTCAGCGTAAAGTAAACTTCTATTAAACAGAAGTTCAAGGGGAGCACTTATGTAATGAGCAACCTTCTTTATGAAAACGAAGGGGATATCATCAGGAGTGCAAGAAAAACTGGAGGGCCATTTCAGCAGATAGTTGAGAATGTCCTGCTGCTTGATGAGAACGGGTTCCCGCATACATGAACAAAAAGGAGGGTACAAGGGATCTGAAGAGTCAACTGCATAAGGAACGAAAACTTTTTGGAACTCATTAGCCAACGTTTCTGCTTTATCATTATCACTAGTGGCCAGAGAGCCGTCAGCCCTGATGAGTGTGGATATTCTGTTTTTGCAATGAATTCTAGCTTTGATGTACTTGTAAAGAAAGGACTTGTTATGGGATTCAATAATATTTTTCTCAATTGCGCACCTGTACTAACGGAGACTTTTGTCAAACTTCGAGGATAAAGACTGGTAAGACTCCCAATCAGGCAGGTCATTAGTTTTTACGGCTTTATTATAAGCCGAAGCCTTTTTAGTATAAAGAGAGAGTGCAAATAAGTAGGCAAGTTTTTCAAAGAAACCGGAACTTTTTTCAAAGGCACGAACATATGTATGCAGTGCCTTAAGAACAAACAAGAAAAGCTCGTACATATCATTGGTATCCCTTACAGCAGCGGAAAGACCCTAACCCAGTCCACGCCTGAGAGATAAGAAAACACTTCAGAGTAATTGCAATTTCTTAAAATCACTTTTGAGTAAGAATTTCTGGTTTATGAAAGAAAATCGGAGATAGAACGTAATAGTTGCATGGTCGCTACTGCCCGGGGGAGCACCTATATATAGATTCCTGACGGAACCTCTGCTATTACAAAAAACCAAATCAAGCAAAATCACTTGAATGTTTTGTGGAGAATAGAACCTACGCGGTAGGTATGCTGTGAGATCTGCGAATGAGTCCGATTTCTTCCTTGGAAAATCTATTGAAGATAGTCTGTCCTCCATGAAGCCCGGATTCCTGCCATAAGTGAAGTGAATGGGTCCGCAGCTGCTGTAGCGTGTCACCTTTCGGGCAAGAGAACGCGGCTGGAGGGTAGCAGCACCCGGGTGCCGTTTCCGTACTGCCAAACTGCCAGCCACTTGTCTGGCTCTCCCACATCTGATTGTTCTTCTGAGTTGCGTGTTTCGCTTCAGGACTTTTGGTATTAAGCGGAAGTGCGGTGGCGTGAGCCTCTTAGAGGAGAGGATTGTGAGTGAGTCGACACTATGTGACTTGGAGCTTGGACAGCTCAGGGCTACCACCGCTAACGCATGGCGAGACTCGAGTCGCTGAGCCGTTGATACGGAAGAATGGCTGGCACGCTAGGAGGAGGGCTAGAGAATATCGTGTCCGTACACACGGGGTGCACTAGGCACAACCGCTCCCTGAGGGTGGATGCACATGGGTGGAGCTCTGGCTAGGGAGGTGGCCCGAAGATATTACGTTCTTGGACATAGAGAAGTATTGCTCGCCGCATCCCCCTATCACAGCTCTGGATTGTGGCCGAAACGTTCCTGCAATGGCGGTTAAGAAGGGTGCTGTGCAGCCGGGCCTACTAGCCGGACTCACTGCGCCGCTTTCTTTACTTAAAGCAGCGTCCGCGATCTAACCAAAAGTGAAAAAAACCGCTCCCATGAAAACGAACGCGGAGTTCGCAACCATAGCGGATATCCCACTCTTGCGGCTCGAAATGTATTGATTGACGAGGGCGGAGTCAACAAGGCTGAGCTGACGCCTCCTTCCCTGTTAATCCCGCCCCGACTGGTTAACAGTTATCAGTGCTTGCTGGCATTGATAAACGCTAAGTTTCTGGAGTTCCGAGCCGGCGACGTGTATTGGAGAACTCACCAAAGGTCTGCGAAACTCGTCCACATGCCTTAAATTTCGTAGGGTCTTATTTCACGCTCTTCCACACCTTTTTCCTACTTTTTTGATTAGTGCTTCATTGGCCACCTGTTCTAACAAATTTGACCCCTGAGACCTGCCAAAGTCCATCGCGGGCGCTGTCTTTAACGTGGGTGGCAAGACGTAACATGCATAATCCTAAAGCAGCGCGGTCAATCCCTTAATATCCTTGCGGGCTCAAGTGGAAGCATCGTGGTCATTTAGAGCCACAGTCCTAGTTCCATGTTTTTCTTGTGTCAGTAACCTGGTGGTATAGTCATTAAGGGTCTGGGGGGGGGGCACGGCTTTCCTCAAAGTCGCGGTGGTTCTGAGGATGGTGACTTGGTTGGGACAGCGTGCGGTTAACGAAAGTTCCACCTCACAATCTGGTTGGTCAAGATAAAATTGCGATATGTCGAAGTTTTATGATTGGAAAGACAGGAATTAGCCCTCTTATCCTCTTCGCCCTACTTTCATCCATTTCCTCCCTTCATTCAGCTTCCCACATTGATTTTTTTTTGTTCTAGGCGACTTTCAAATCCGAGGCTGGTGAGATGAATCGTTTAATGCGAAAGCACCCTATGATGGAGGCGTGGTTCGTCCACAGCGTGAGTAACCCTTTATTCCTGGAAGTTACCATTTCACCGGGCATCATCCTTATTAGAACTTCAGGGATTAACGTCAGAGGCGTCGGATTCTGCCAGCGTATCCACAGATCGTCAACAGGGCTGCATTGTATCAGAAGAAGGCTCCCGAGTGGCGCTATTCCGTATCCAGAACTCATCAGTGGACGAGCCGCCACCATCGCTGCTTACGGAGGCGCCAGTTCATCGACCAGCACTTCAATTGCTCACTCATCACACTCGATAATTACTGGTATTTTCAATTTGCTGTCCTTCTCTCATTTACTATTCTGCAAGCATTGCTCATTTTGTCTCACGGTGAAATTGTTATTTTGATCAGAAATGGAAGAAATGATAGCTACATCTGGTGCAAAAGCATTGTCAAGGGACAGAAATCGGTCTCAGCCTGAATCATATCTCGTACAGCTTAAGAGAATAACACTTGCTAATCAAAAATCAAATTGGGTTGGTCCAACATCTTTTTCTCTTCCTTCCCACGGGTTCGCGTTGCCTGTTCTTGTTTTTCCTTTCACCTGGCGTCGAGAAATTCACGAATGGGTTAGTTAGGTAACTTCTTCTTTTTTTAGGCTTTGTCCCATTCTGTAGCGGAGTCCGCCATCCTTATTTTGTGGCGCCACTTCTCCGATTGAATGCCTGGTCGGGATGGGTGCCAAACTATCTTCAAGTACGCAGTGTCTGATCAGCGCTCTTCAAGGGGTGGCGTCCCTTGGGTCACTTCCCGGGCACTTCTCGAGCTCCAGACCAGTCTTACAGACGGTGTTAGAATTCGCGCGCAGTACATGACTGTACCACCGAAGGCGCGTTCTTGCATTTTGTCAGCTATAGTGGCTACACAGAGCCTTTCGTGTTGTTGCAAATA